GCAATGGCAACCCTTAAGAAACAGAGACCAGTGAAATGCAATGGCAACCCTTAGCAGCTGCAGGGCAAGGTTCTCAGTGAGAGTCCAGGGCTGGGAAAGAAGTCCAAACCTAAAATAAAATCTAATGATCATCTTTTTCTGGGTTAAAAGTGCTCTCTGTTTGGTCTTTTGTCCCACACCTGATTCTTTTAGAGGAATTGAGGTGTAAGGACCTCGTTCCAGTGTGCAAGACTCCACCATCATAGTGGAGTGACTATAAAACATTGCTAATGCAGCAGAACAGAGTGATAGCACAAATCTCTGGAGCTCAGGCTGCAGCTTTTAAGGCACTCAGGAGGCTGCTCCTCATTCCCTATAATCCTGAGCAAGTCTTTTGCTGCCCATGAGATGAGGATGGAGCAGGGAGGCATTACATGGCACAGCATTGTTTGAACTTGTGATTATTTCTGCTTAACAATATGCTGTATTTAAGGGATAAGCGTCTATCTTGCTTTTAAATTAACTAAATAAGAATATTTTTTCCAGTAATTTTCTGTCAAGGCTGATTGTCAAAGTACTAAATATAAAGCACATGATAAATGAGCCAAGCCAGACTTCACCACACTGTGCACTCTCCCTTCTCTTACTATGGCTGGCATTTTAGTAAGGAAATGATCATATGAAACTGGCCTTTTTGTTTGCTTAAAAATATGAATCTTGAAAAGTCACTCTGTAGCTCATCTATCTCCTCTACCAAAATTCCTCAAATCTCTGTTGGAATTAAAAGCTTTAAAAATTACTGACTGACAAAATTTTTATAAAAGCATYAGGAGAGAAAACCAGAAGCTTCAAAGTTGAATTGTTATAACCTTTTTACCATGAGCAGGAAGATAACCTTTACAAAGGGCAGCCCTTGCTCGAGTTTTCCTGTCATTGTTTTTGTAATTTGCTGAAATATAATTTATGGCCATTGGGATTTTTTTTTTGTTGGGTTGTGTTTTGGAGATTGTGGTATTTTTTTTTTGTTTTGTATTGGTTGGTTTGGTTGGTTTTTTTTACTCACAGCTAGCATAATATCCTTCCCCTCACACCCCAGTCCCCCAGTTATTTTGAACATATGCTCTTAAGCAATGATTCTGAGTCCTCTGTGTCTTATCCTTTCTGTAAATGGGAAGAGTAGAAACAGTCCAGTATAAATGAARTATTTTATAAATAAAAKTTCAGTAAGGASTCYRTYCCCATTCACTGGGAAGCAAATGCARAGCTAAGAGCACTCCTAATCCCCAGCCCTGGGCCATACAGCCYGTGCTCACCTCTGCACTATAGCTAACCTTGGCAATAATGTCTGAYATTAATAAACAGACAGACCTATTGCTGATTAGAATAAATATAAATCTTCCTTTTCTACCTGCTTTTTTCTTTTTCTCCCAGCTGCTTCATGCCCGCTATGTACTTCAGCTGCTCAGTGAAACCAGGAGGGTTCTTAAGGAGATGCCAAATATCACCCATCTCTCAACTTCCTACTCCAAGGAGATAACTGTCTGTGGTAAGCTTCCAGAGGAGAGAACTGCTTTGGGCTATGGGCTGATATTTTAATTGGCTTGAGAATGATACCGACATTTCCAAATGTTGCCATTACAAGAAAGTTCTCATTGCCTTTTTAAAAATTATTTATTTATATTTTCCCCCRCAAATGCATACATTGGGGGGGAAAAAAAAGGTCCTGAGTCATAATAAGTATATTTTAAGAAAGTCCCTCACCTCCTCTTTCCTTTACTTGTTTAACATTTCTGAATGAGTCAGTAGCATTAATTCAGCTAACACTGCAGTGTAGATTAAATACTCCTGAATTTCCACCAAGTATTCTGTCACTGGCTGCAAGTCTCACTTCYTTCTCCTCTCACTGAGAAAAAGACCTAACTCAGTAATGATTTTAATGRTTTTAGTAATAATTTACTTGGAAATTATTTTAATGAGGGCTTAATACAGGTGGCAAAAAAGACCTTTCATTGACAGCATGACTATGTAGAATAAATTGAAATGGTAATAACCCCTCATTTCTAAGGAGACCCAAGAGGATTGATAAGTTTTTATACAACTAACAAATTAGTCTCACAGAATGATGTGATGCATCACACAGTAAAGAACTGAGAGCTCCTTGCCCATCTATTTTGTTACACTTTTTAAATTATGGATAATGGGATGCAGTATCCTGACTTGACACAGAATGCAGAGCAATAATGGTGAGCTAACTCTTGACATCTGTCAGTGTGTGCAATAGTAACACAGGGGAGTAGGATAAGGGAAGTACTGTGAGACATGCAAAACAAACAATGTTAAATGTGCTTATGGGTCTACTTTGATTTCCAGGAAGGAGTTTGTTTAAATGAGGTTTTGTATAAACAATAATCTGTTAACCAAACCAACAGGACCCCTCTGCAAACCAAGGAAACCCAGATTCATGCTTGTTCACAACACAACATGTTCTTGTTAAGCAAACATTCCTCTTCATGTTTGTATTCCATTTATACTGTGTAAGCAGCATCTAAAGGGATCCCTCTCCTGTACTGAAACCAGAAGCTTTTGTAGCCAGAAAGAGCTTCTGCTCTGGATATGGATATATCCATAGAGCTTATGATGGATAAGCTGGATAGCTTAAGATGGATAACCCATTTCTAAGCATAATTGGGCCAAAAAGTTGATTTCCTTAAAATAAGATATCCATCTCTCCATTTTCTTACCATTTCAAATTAATAATGCAGATCAAATCTATGCCTGAAATGTTTACATCCAAATAGGTGATTAATGTCTATCATAGTTTGAAAGATCCCTTAGAATGGGTTCRGCAGGCACATAATAAATCAAAAGTTGCACAGAAAACAGGTACACAGGGTAAAAATGTCATTTCTCTTTTCCTAATCATTGGTGGTAAAAGCATAAYACCACAAGAGAGGTTTTGGAGCTGTTGTGCAGCTTTGTGGTGTGAGTCACAGATGTGAGGATTGGCTCTGCCAGTGAAATGCAGTCAGATGCWCAGGGGATCTGTGCTGCAGCAATCCTTTGTATTGGGGTGAAATCCCCCTGCCTGTTCCAAACAAACTCTCAAAAAGGGCCCCAATCTGTCATTTCTGTGCCCTCAGCATGGAGGCACACAGGCTGGACACTTCCCATCACATCCTGCTGCTGGGATCAAAACCTGTCCCTGAAATACATTCACTTGTGCAGAGTAAAGAGGGCTAATTGGTAAATTTAAACCTGTTAAGCATGTAGAAATCGATTATATTTCAAAATGTGTTTTAGTGACATTTTCTGGGTTCATATACATATGGAAAACATAGAGGGAGACTTACTAGGTCTAACTAATTCCAGTTTTATAATTCCAGTTTCTTCTTTCTCTGTGAGAAAATTTTTTAAAAAAAGTTTTTGTTTCCTGTAGGAGATTTGCATGGAAACCTAGATGATCTTTTGCTGATATTCTATAAGGTAAGYAGRTACTCTGCMATGCAGCATTTTCACTTTATTACTYGTTATTAATAACATATATTTATGTGTGACAGATTTATCACCATTACAATTGTTCATGGGGTGTGCATACACCTTACACACAAATCCTGCAACGATTTGGTGCCAAAATCCTGCCACTGATTTAAATTCCCTATTGACTAAAGTCTGGTAAAATTAGGAACTAACTTTATTCCTGATGTAGCACTACACCATGGATAATTTTGACTCTCARTAAAAAATGCAGAAGCTTTCATTTAGACCTCCCCCGATATCTGCAGGTTTTTTTTCATTTGGTTTTGGGTGTTTTTTGGGTTTTTTTTTAATATTTTGGGTGGGTTTTTTGGGTGTTTTTTGTGGTGTTTTTTTTTGTTTGTTGGTTTGGTTTTTGTGATTTGCTTTTTTGGGGGTTTTGGATGGGGAGGAGGTGTTTAAACAGGAAACAAAAAAGAGTGATGTTTGAAAGCATTTTAAGCCTTGGAAGCAATCACATGTTCTTTACAAAATAGAAGTACTTTARACACCCTTTACATATCCTTTCTATCATGCTAAAAAAAGCAGAGCTCTGTGTAAAACAAATTAAGCTCCAGGCTATCTTTTCCCCAACTATATGTWTAAGTGAAGATGCAGGAAATGTTGTGTTTTTAGTGTCACATTTCTCTTCAGCATGAATCACCACCTTGGATTTAGCAGGTACTCTSTTTGATTTGAGCTTTCAGGGGGAGAGAAAAGGTTTGTGTAGATTCTTACACATTGTTCTCCACTAAAGGGAGACTGAATGAGCTAAACCAGGTGTGTGAATGATGGGATTCTTCCCCTGCTTTATTGCACTTCATCCAACACTTGTTGGATGTAAATGTGGTTGTTTTGCCCAAGTGCATTTCTGAAGTCTGTTGAAGTCTGATTAAAGTATAATCAGACCTTTTTATAGAGTTCTGCTTTTCTTACTAATCAACCATGTTTAGCTGGTCCTTGGCTTGCAGGCTTTTAGTTGTTTAGCTCTCTTTTTTAGTTTTTTAGCTCTGTATATACCTATTGGTTTCATACACAAAACCTGGAATGGGAACTAGAACTATTTTGAAGATAAATGCTAAGATGTAATTATATTTACAATGGCAATCAGCCTGCATTTTACTCTTTTGAGTGAACAGGTGCTGATTCTTTTTYCCCCTCTCTAATGGATGTTATAAAGAGAAAAAAAAAAGGCAACTCTAATCCTGACTTCAGTAAATTCAGTGCCAAAACTCCCATTGACTTCAGGGACTGGGGATAACACCCAGTTGTTCTCTGCAAAACTTCCAACAAACTGAATAAAATGGGCACATATTTTGTCATTTCAAAGCAGTTGAGGATATAGAGAGCATATGATAGAGCTGATCAGTTATTTAGAAGCAAATTAAATGGCACTGTTTTCTGTCTCCTCTGAGCAGTTTATTCAGATGATCAGCAAACCCAGACAACTTCTGGGACACATTATTTTCTCCTTCCCAAACTCTGT